AAACAAGAATCAAAATCCCTAACCCTAGGTGAATGGATTACCTCATGTTTAGATTCTATTTCATGTTAATTGGAATTCAGAACATAAAACCAATCAACTATAATAAAATAGAATTGAAAAACTTACAATCGAATTAAGACTTGAAAGATTTCAATCCAAATGTCTTTGTGTCCAACAATCCAAACATGAGAAAATAAAAAGAAAAGCGGAGAAAATTATCCTAACAATATTGAGTTTTTGGTGAGGAAACTTGAAAGGAACGATATTGATGGTTGTTCCTTAGGTCTGGAGGTTCGATTTGATATATAGTGCGCGAAAAACGGAGCTAAAACGAGTAAAAACGAGCAAAAATAAAAACAGGGGTCGACAAAGTCGCGACTCGCGAGTTGACTCGCGAGTCGCGAGTTGGACGGGTCGCTGAGCTGCTGGAGGCTCTGTTAAAGTCGCGAGTCGCGACTTTTTCTCTCGCAAGTCGCGACTCAACTCGCGACTCGCAACTTTGTGCTCGCGACTCGCGAGATTTTGGGCTGCACTGCACCATTTTGCGTTTTCGCCTTGTTTGAGCTCGTTCGAACTCGGAATTGAGTTCCGTTTTTTCCTATGCGTCGCTAACGAACCCCTCTATCCAGTTATGCTCTCGAAACCAACTTTTACTGAAGAGAAAATTCGCCCGAATCTTTCGACCTACACACCAAAAACAACAAAACACAAAAGAAAAGAGGAAAAACAAACAAAAAAAACACCTAATGACTCAAAATGAAGGAAAACACATAATAAAACAAGAAACGGACTAAAAACTAAAGAAACAACCTAAAACGGGAGAAAACGAAAGATAAAATAAACACGAAAAACGCAACAAAAATGGGACAAACAGTTACTACATGTCGGATACGACATATCGGTTATAACTACGCGAGCCGATATCTATGACTTGTTAAACCGACACCAAGAGGCGGTGCCAACTCAGCACAACTCATCATTGCACCTGGCCAAGTGGCATGTTACTAAGATGAATGGCAATCAGCCGCCGTTGACTATTCTTGTGTAATGATTACATATTAGATAAATATTGTAAATAAATATAAAAGGAGAAAACAGTTCTCCAATCAGTCACGACACGCATACAATAATATTCAAAAAATTCTATCTCCTTTCACTGTTCATATAAGCCTTTATTGATTTATCTTAAGTTTACTACAAATCCATGTCGATTATATAGTTGTTAATTTTCGTTTGACAACACATCTACATGTATAAAATGTAAAGTTATTTTATTATATTTTTTATGATATTTCTTATATTTAGTATTTTAAACACATAATAACATTCAATTTCTTATATAATTTATTTTAATACATAAATAATATTTTATAATATTTATTATAATTTATTTTATGTAATACTCATTTTTAAAAAACTATAATGGTAATAATAAATATATTATGTTTTTTTATCAAAAACTATTGTGACATTAAATAATTGTCATAAAAATTATCACTACTACTGTGATGACTAATATAACCCAAATAATTGAAGATAAATTTTAGTGATGAAAATATAGTGACAATAAAAGAAATTTGTCTCTATATCTTAACACTTCTAATTATAGTGACATAATAAATACATGTCACCTTATTTTTTTGAAATTTAGTCATGATATTAGTTATCGTCACTATTTAATGTAACAATTGTGATAATTTTTTTTTTTTCTCGCCAACACAAAATAAATGCGCCAAATTCTCAGTGACAATGTGTAGTGATAATAATCAAAATTGTCACTAATATTCATCACTCTCAAACCATAGTGACAACGAATAAAATTGTCACAATAGACATGTTTTCATTGACGATATTTGTACTACCACTAATATTTCATCACTACATGTGCTATTTCTTGTAGTGTACTAATTTGAGTTGTCATTCGGGCCTAATCCTCGATTGGCGCACCTTTGTGGGCTATAGACAGCGCGGAGCCTACTCCACCTATATGAACAAGGTGAATGCTGACGTTCCTCTACTCGGGCTGAATCTTCTCGTCCTCAGTAGGAGACCGGGGCTACACACGAGACGGAGGAGATGGAGCATGATCAGGATCCTATCGAAGACACCCGTCTCCTCCCGCCTCCTTCTGACTGACAGCCTACTTCAGAGCTAGATCACCGGGAGCCACGGGCCACACATCAGCAGCAGCGTCTGGCGGAGCCGTCTACACTGCCCGCTTGGTGGTCTAAGCCTCCGCATGGTGGACGACGTTCGAGGACCGCCACGATCGAGACATGAGGGACATTAGTGCCCGATTCGCGAGCGATCTGTTTTTAGGTTATTGAGGCACGTCAGGTCCAGTGGGATGAGCAGTTCGGCCGGTGGGACGCGCAGTTTAGCTCCAGAGCCAGACACCCCTATCCTCCTCCTCCTGGACTACATTGACTTGTCACTGTGATGGTCAGCTGTTCTTTTTCTTTTCTCTTTTTATTTTTATTTTTGTATTTTCTCTTCTTTTTGTGTCAGTTGATTGTGTAGTACAAATTTCTTTCACCGAGAGTCCACAATAATGGAGACATTGTCTACTTTTAAGTGTGGGGAGGGGGGGTTGCATGTTATGTGGCTATTTGGTTGACCAGATCTAGTTTTTTTTTAGGATGTTTTTATTTCTTTCTTTTGCTTGGTGGACCATTCTAGTTTTAGGTGTGTTTTCTAAGTTTGGATATTGGTGTATTGTAAGACTGGTTGGTAATTGTTGATTGAATTGAGAAGTTGTGATGATGAGATTGAGTAACATATCTTGATTAATTGGCTTGGTTATTTTGAGGGACATATTTACCTTGTTAGGTTTAAGCCTTTCTTGTTTTTCTTGTGTGATATTGGTCGGAATCTTGTCAATTAGAATTTGCCTTGAGACTGCTTTGAAATAACTCGTTGTGAAACGTGAATATGATTGAGACATTCTTTGTATTTATCTTTTCTTTTTTTCTTTTCCGAGAATGACAGTCACTAGTCACCCCCTTTGAGCCTTAATTGATTTTATTGTTATTCTCGTGATGGTGACATTGAGTTGCGGGTTGAGAGTTGGAAGTGGCGGTTGATTAAATTGTGAATATTTCGATTTGATTTGATTTGAAAAAAAAAAAAGAAAAAAAGGGAAGTCGAATGGATTATACTCCAAGTGCTTCATCAACTAATGTAGTGGCTACGAGCCATGAGTACGGGAAACTGGTCTAGGAGATCGGACAGAAAACCCGAAGGTTAAACCTAGATAAAAGGTCCAAAAGGTTTTTGCAAAAAAAAAAAAGGAAAAGAAAAAGAAAAATGAAAAAGAAAATCAGAAAAAAATATATTGTTTGCTTTGGGAAGTGTGTTGGTCTTGGAGTTAGTGGAAAGAACTGGTTGGTGACAACTGGATGAGTTTATTGTTATGGTTTGGAGATTGAGTAGAGTTGTTATATATTGAGCCACTTAGCATATATTTATCATACCCGATCCAAAGAGCATACGTTACATCCCTTTAAGCGCACTTGATTCACTGTTACATGAAAATGATTGTTTTAGAGTAAAGGTTAGACGATAGGAAAACATATGATTGACTTGACTGATGACCAATTCGAGTGCACCTATCTCATATTTTGCGAAAGAAATTGAGTGAGGCACATATACTTTTATACTCGAGAGTCTTTGTTCTTCAAAATAGTCGAGTTAATGGTTGAGGTG